TCGTTTCCTTTCACTGATTTTAGAAATTCTGTGGTCTCTGAAATCTTTTGGCAACCTTTCAGTTATTTAACTAAAAGTACTTCTATACTGTATTAATCTACAAAACTATTTGTAGAATGGTCCTATGTACTAGATGAAGACAACATTATATGTATATTAAATGAAAGCCTGACTGAGATTTCTTATTTGGATATATTTTTTATTTATTTATTTTTATTTTAGCGTATTATGGGGGTACAAGTGTTAAGGTTACATATATTGCCCATGCCCCCCTCCCCCCTCGAGTAAGAGCTTCAAGTGTGTCCATCCCCCAAACCTTGCACATCTTACTTGTTTGGTTGTATATACCCATCCCCTCCTCCCCCCTCCTACCCTCACGACACCCGATAAATGTTATTCCTATATGTCCACTTAAGTGTTTTTTTTTTTTTTTTTTTTTTTTTGAGACAGAGTCTCGCTTGTTGCCCAGGCTAGAGTGAGTGCCATGGCATCAGCCTAGCTCACAGCAACCTCAAACTCCTGGGCTCAAGCGATCCTCCTGCCTCAGCCTCCCGAGTAGCTGGGACTACAGGCATGCGCCACCATGCCCGGCTAATTTTTTATATATATATCAGTTGGCCAATTAATTTCTTTCTATTTATAGTAGAGACGGGGTCTCGCTCAGGCTCAGGCTGGTTTTGAACTCCTGACCTTGAGCAATCCACCCGCCTCGGCCTCCCAAGAGCTAGGATTACAGGCGTGAGCCACAGCGCCCGGCCTCCACTTAAGTGTTGATCCGTTAATACCAATTTGCTGGTGAGTACATGTGGTGCTTGTTTTTCCATTCTTGAGATACTTCACTTAGTAGAATGGGTTCCAGCTCTATCCAGGAATATATAAAAGGTGCTATATCACCATTGTTTCTTAAAGCTGAGTAGTACTCCATGGTATACATATACCACATTTTATTAATCCACTCATGAATTGATGGGCACTTGGGTTGTTTCCACAGCTTTGCAATTGTGAATTGTGCTGCTATAAACATTCGAGTGCAGGTGTCTTTTTTATAAAGTGACTTTTGATCTTTTGGGTAGATGCCCAGTAGTGGAATTGCTGGAACAAATGGTAGATCTACTCGTATTGCTTTGAGGTATCTCCATATTGCTTTCCACAGAGGTTGAACTAGTTTGCAGTCCCACCAGCAGTGTAGGAGTGTTCCTCTCTTTCCGCATCCATGCCAGCATTTATTATTTGGGGACTTTTTGATAAAGGCCATTCTCACTGGAGTTAAGTGATATCTCATTGTGGTTTTGATTTGCATTTCCCTGATGATTAGAGATGTTGAACATTTTTTCATATGTTTGTTGGCCATTATTCTGTCTTCTTTTGAGAAGTTTCTGTTCATGTCCTTTGCCCATTTTTTGATAGGGTTGCTTGATTTTTTTCTTGCTGATTTTCTAAATAGAATTCTAAATAGTTCTAAATAGATTCTAGTTATCAGCCCTTTATCAGACGTGTAGCTTGCAAAAATTTTCTCCCATTCTGTGGGTTGTCTGTTTGCTCTCTTGACAGTTTCTTTGGCTGTGCAGAAGCTTTTTAATTTCATCAGGTCCCATATATTTATTTTTGTTGCTGTTGTGATTGCCTTTGGGGTCTTCTTCATAAATTCTTTGCTTAGGCCAATGTCTAGAAGAGTATTTCCAACATTTTCCTCTAGAATTCTAATAGTTTCACACCCAAGGGTCAAGTCTGTTACCCAGTGTGAGTTGATTTTTGTGGGAGGTGAAAAGTGTGGGTCTTGTTTTAGTCTTCTACATGTGGCTATCCAGTTTTCCCAGCACCATTTATTGAAAAGGGATTCTTTTCCCCAGTGTATGTTTTTGTCTGCTTTGTCGAAAATTAGTTGGCTATATGAGGATGGTTTTATATCTAGGTTCTCTGTTCTGTTCCACTGGTCAATGTCCCTGTTCTTGTGCCAGTACCAAGCTGTTTTAATAACTATAGCCTTGTAGTGTAGTTTGAAGTCTGCTAAATTGATACCTCCTATTTTGTTTTTATTGCCTAGGATTGCTTTTGCTATACAGGGTCTTTTTATTTGGATATTTTCGTCTCACTTATAATCAAAGGTATTATTCATAGTTGTGTTCTTTTGGGGCAATGGCTATTCACTTATTCTCCCAGTGATCATTATCTGGAAAGACCTGAGAGAGGAAAATAAATAATGGCATTTCTCAGCTTTATAAATAAACATAATCACCTGTTTTATTGATTCTTTGCAGTTCTTTAAATATTTAACGGAAAGAGAGAAGGAACTGTAAAAATCTTTTCCTCTTCTGCCAATTATAAGAATTGGAACTATAGGCGGGGTGCGGTGGCTCACGCCTGTAATCCTAGCACTCTGGGAGGCAGAGGCAGGCGGATTGCTCATGGTCAGGAGTTCAAAACCAGCCTGAGCAAGTTCGAGACCCTGTCTCTACTATAAAATAGAAAAATTAATTGACCAACTAATATATATAGAAAAAATCAGCCAAGCATGGTGGCACATACCTGTAGTCCCAGCTACTCGGGAGGCTGAGGCAGTAGGATCGCTTGAGCCCAGGAGTTTGAGGTTGCTGTGAGCTAGGCTGACGCCACGGTATTCACTCTAGCCTGGGCAACAAAGCGAGAGACTCTGTCTCAAAAAAAAAGAAAAAAAAGAATTGGAACTTTAACATTCTCTTGTAATAGAATCAATGTGAAAGAACATGAAAATTTAATACCAATTGGCAGCAAATCTCACTTCCGTTTAATTGAAAATTTGACATCATGAGTGAATATTAGTACATGACAGAAATAAAAAATGATAGTAGAAAAGTAATAAACTAGAATATAAAATTATTAATATATGTACTGAATGATCACAGCTAAATTTTAAATACATACACAGGAAAAAGCTTAGAAAGAAATGTGCGAAGATGTGAATTAAGAATAGTTATTAGGCTGGTCGTGGTGGCTCAAGCCTGTAATCCTAGCACTCTGGGAGGTTGAGGCAGGAGGATCGTTTAAGCTCAGGAGTTTGAGACCAGGCTGAGCAAGAGTGAGACCCCGTCTCTACTAAAAAAATAGAAAGAAATTAGCTGGACAACTAAAAAAAAAAAAAAAAAATATATATATATATATATATATATATATATGCACATACATATAAATTAAAGTCAGGAGTTCGAAACCAGCCTAAACAAGAGCAAGACTCCGTCTTTACTATAAATAGAAAGAGATTAATTGGCCAACTAATATATATAGAAAAAATCAGGCGAGCATGGTGGAGCATGCCTGTAGTCCCAGCTACTTAGGAGGCTGAGGCAGGAGAATTGCTTGAGCCTAGGAGTTTGAGGTTGCTGTGAGCTAGGCTGAGGCCACAGCACTCTAGCCTGGGCAACAGAGTGAGACTCTGTCTCAAAAAAAAAAAAAAAAAAAAGAATAGTTATAGTCCAGGTGTGGTAGCTCACGCCTGTAATCCTAGCACCTTGGGAGGCCAAGGTGGGAGGATCCCTTAAAGTGAGGAGTTTAAAACCAGTCTGGGCAACATCGAGACCCCGTCTCTACAAAAAATAAAAAAATAGCCAGGTGTAGTGGCCTGTGCCTATAGTCCCAACTGCTAGGGAGGCTGAGGCAGGAGGATCAGTTGAGCCCAGGAGCTGGAGGCTGCAGTGAGCTATGATGATGCCACTGCACTCCAGCCTGGGTGACAGTGAGACCCTGTCTCAAAAAAAAAAAAAAGAAAAAAGAAAAACTAGTTACATATTTATTTTTGCTTGTATTACTATTTTTAATTGACATCTGATAATTATATATATCTACTATTCATTAAGTGGAATAGTGGATCATCATAAAAGTCTTCATCATCAGCATCATCATCTTCATGTTGAGTAGGCTGAGGAGGAGGAAGGGGGGTTGGTCTTGCTATCTCAGGGGTGGCGGAAGACAGAAGAAAACCTGAGTATCAGTGGACCTGCATTGTTCAAATCTGTGTTGTTCGAGGGTCAACTGCAGTTATTTCCCAGGTAAGCTGTTCCACTTTGAGGAAGTAAATAATTGATGAGACGGGAGAAACTAACCAGTGGGTTGCAGATGTCTACCCAGTAAGTGTGTGACAAAGCTGAAATCTTGCCAGAATACATGGAGACAAGGAGAGACTACTCTCTTGGGCATGTTAAGTAATTCAGCATTTCAAGACACAGCCCATGCTCTGTCTTTTTTTTTTTTTTTTTTTTTTTTTTTTTTTTTTTTTTTGAGACAGGGTCTCACTCTATTGCCCAGGCTAGAGTGCTGTGGCCTTAGTCTCGCTCACAGCAACCTCAAACTCCTAGGCCCAAGGGATCCTCCTGCCTCAGCCTCCCGAGTAGCTGGGACTACAGATACACGCCACCATGTCTGGCTGATTTTTTCTATATATTTTTAGTTGTCCAGCTAATTTCTTTCTATTTTTTTAGTAGTGACAGGGTCTTGCTCTTGCTCAGGCTGGTTTCGAACTCCTGAGCTCAAATGGTCCTCCTGCCTTTGCCTTCCAGAGTGCTAGGATTACAGGTGTGAGCTACCGCATCTGGCCCATGCTGTCATTTATATATGCTATCTTTAATGCTCAATGATAGCTGAGTGCCTAGCCCCTGGCACAATAGCTAGTATGTGGTGAGACGGTCCATAAGCTTTTTTTTTTCTTGAGACAGAGTCTCGCTTTGTTGCCCAGGCTAGAGTGAGTGCCGTGGCGTCAGCCTAGTTCACAGCAACCTCACACTCCTGGGCTCAAGCAATCCTGCTGCCTCAGCCTCCCAAGTAGCTGGGACTACAGGCATGCGCCACCATGCCTGGCTAATTTTTTCTATATATATTAGTTAGCCAATTAATTTCTTTCTATTTATAGTAGAGATGGGGTCTCGCTCTTGCTCAGGCTGGTTTCGAACTCCTGACCTCGAGCAATCCGCCCGCCTCTGCCTCCCAGAGTGCTAGGATTACAGGCGTGAGCCACCACGCCCGGCCCCATAAGCTTTTCTTTTTCTTCTTCTGTTAGACTGAACTTGCTAACTTTAGCTTATATCCTGTTATAAAATTAAAGCCAAGGATCATCATAGTTGGTTTGTTGTTACCCAAGTTCTTGTCCGTGGTGAGTTGATAGAGTTGAAGAGAATCATGATTCACAGATTAGCAGCCCTTGGAATAGAGGATATTGTAATAAAAAACTGTTCTTTGAGGCAGACATGGTAGGTAGTTCCAGCTATTCCAGAGGCTGAGCCTTGACAATCCCTTGAGCCTAGGAGTTCGAGTGTAGTCTGAGCAACATATCTCTAAAATAAATAAATAAAAAAGAAAAACTGTACTCTTTAAATAAAAATGAAATTGCAGACTAAAACTTTAAACTTAATGGAGAAGATCATCTGGACCATAATATCATCATTCTCTTCTCTAAGAGAAATCTTATCTATGTTCTTCTCAGGTCTCCTGCAAATTGCTGCTGCCAGCAGCAGCTTTGCCTCTAGGAGGCGCTGCTCCGCCGCGCCCCCCCAGCCCCCCCCCCCAGGACGGCAGTTGGAGGAGTCCGGGTCATTCAGATCTACAGCTAGGCAGGCTTTTGACTTCTAGCAGTTCAGGGAAATAAGCAGGATGAATGAGAGTGATTTCAAGCTAGATAATCTGGTTTATAAGGAAAATTTATTTATCCTCAGCTTGGGGCTCACTCGGAGATCCCGTCTTCCCAGCTCTTGGGCTATTTATCAGACTGGGCCCCTTTCACTACCAGCATCCAAGAATCCTTTGGCAGGCTTGGTGCTAGCGCTGGAGTAGAAAAAACAATGCAAGGTCCTTTCTCTGAGCCCAGTCTAGTGGGGAGAAGGGTAGTCGCCCAGATTCTTAAGATCAGGCCCAGACAGGGCAAGAGAGGGGCCTGACAGCCTTCGCAAGACTGACCCTCAGGGTTCCTAGTTTTCAGGTTTGAAACTGAGAAGGGTACTTCCCTTTTGGAAATGACTATCCCCTAGTAGGGGCGGCAGTTTCAGCACTCAGCACAGTTGTAACATTTCTGTTGATGCATGTACTTGATGACAGAGGATCTGTGATCTACATGTTTGAATTTACTGTGAAATAAATGCCAATTTTATGTGCACATCGCCTAAAAAGCAGCCCATGAGTGGTAACAGTAGTTAAGAAAACTGCTGAGGTAATTAATTAGGATTATGTTTACATTTTTATTCTCAGGGTTAATATTTAATATTGAATCACAGGTTCTGCTTTCACTAAGTCCAGTTCTGTTCTGAATAACTGCCAGTGTTTGAAAAATACAAGTTCATTTTAATTTTATAAAATTTATGTTTGCCAGGACTAAGCCTCAATCGACATTTTTTCTAAATTGTCTTGTTAAACCATAGCGTTATAATTAAGCTAACCATTAACGATCCTTTATAGAAAAAATGTGAATGGCACCCTCATTCATCAGTTTCATAATTGTCTTAAAGTCACAGACATTTTATCAGGCCCAAGAATGGCCATCGCCATTCTTCACCCCAATCTGGTTGTGTAGTTTTTATATGGGGACTGGAGGGTCACCTGTCACGTACGTACCTGTCCGAGACCAGCCTGGCAACATAGTGAGACCCTGTGTATACAAAATATATCTTAAAAAAATTAGGCAGGTGTGGTGTTGCGTGCCTGTTATCCCAGCCACTGGGGAGGCTGAGGCAGGAGGATCACCTGAGACAGGTGCTCGAGTTTGCATGAGCAGTGATCCTGCCACTGCACTTGAGCCTGGGTGACAGAGCAAGATCCTGACTCAAAAATAAATAAATAAATAACAGTAAAATAAATCTCAAGCTCTCACACGTGCCAGCTGTGTGGCCTCAGCCAAATGACCCTAGAACGGGCATAATAAGAGTGCCTACTCCACAGGGTGGGTTTGAGGGCCACATTAGCCAGCACATGCAAAGTCCTGAGAACAATGTCCAGGACACAGTCTATCAAAGTCCATGTTAGATCACAAGTAGCAAATTAGAGTGGAAAGGACTATGATGCATAGCAGTGGCAACCGAAAGCTAACAACTTTAACACAAAAGGGAAACATAAAGACAGACACAAATAGCCAAGTTGCATGGGTGTATATGGGTTTTAATAGGAGAGTGTAAAAAAAAGATGGTAAAAAAGAGTATAAACCGTCCCATCTCAGCCTCCCAAAGTGCTGGGTTTGCAGTTGTGAGCCACTGTGCCTGGCCAGTGTGTGGGATTTAAGCCCAGTCTAGCTCTAGAATCTACAAGAACATACAGGAGTAGATTCATACAGTGCTGCGTCATTATCCAGGCTTATTAGCATAGCTGAAGTTTAACTGTAAGTAAGCTGTTTGTAGAATTTCCAAAGCATTCACCTGTGAGTTACATCTTGTTAACTTCTTCGACCCTTTTTCTTCATCTGTAAAATGGAAATAATAATAGAAGCACCCTCAGGATTGTTGTGAGGATTAAATGAGTGGAGATATATATGTGTGTGTGTGTATGCATATATTTGATATACATGCATGTGTGCATACGATATATGTGACTAATTGGAAACACTGTCTGACATTGAGCAAGTGTTTGTTATTCCAAGCACTGTTCCTGTGCTCAGGAAATGAAACAACTATCCATGACTTTTAAGGACAGTGAAACGGTATGGTATCTACTGGTTTATAGATGCTGAGACTCGTTCCTTCTTCATGGCCCTCTTCCCAGTTTGTTCACTCCACACCCCCTCTTCTTAAGAACCCTGATCAGCTCTCTTGAGAGAGGCCGGAAGTGGCTGCAGGGGATGTGGGAGGGACTGGCCCCTCCACTCCCTACCCCTAGGCCGCTCCGCCCCCTCCTTCCCGCCAGCCTTCCCACTGGTCCCCAGGCGTGAGTGGGGTGCAGTGTGGTCTTCTGCGGCTCTCCCAACCTGACTTCCAGGACCTGGACAGGCCTTTTGTTCTTTAAAATAAGCCTCACAGCGAATCACGGCAGGGAAGCAGGCTGGACACGTACACAGGAAAATGCCTTGAAAAGTGCACTGGGGACTTAATGAGGCTCCCGTCAGTGATTCCCGACTTCTGTTGAAATGGTAAGACGACGCTTGGCAGCAGGCGCCTTCCTGCCCTTCTCGGTGAGGGCCTGTGCCTCCCAGGTAGCCTGAAGGTGCAGCCCGGCTTTCCTGGCTGCTCTGCACCCTGCAGTGGGCGATTTGCATCTCTGAGGAAACTCCAGGTGGGGCCTGGGGCTGTTACATGAACCTGAGACCCTCCTTGGGGGAGGGTGGCGGGGGAGGTTACCCATCGGGGCATTTTCTTCCCAAACTTGGCAGAATTTAGATCTCAGGGCTTGCTCTGAGGTCAAAACATTTTTAAAGTTTCTTCCATAGAAATTACCAAAGGTCTATGCATTTTACCTAACATCTAAAATTTATTTATCAAGAAAGCATTTATTCTAAGATACGCAAGAAACATTGCCACAACATGAAATTATATTTAGGTTAAAGTAATCTTTTAATTAAACTCTAATATTAAGAAAATGAAATAACCTTGGGAACATCTTATGAATCCAATGAATACCAAAAGTGGAAGCAAATTATGAAAGGAGAGTCAGGCCAGCTGCTGAGATACTACAGTCTACGGGCTCACTGCTCTGAGTCTTCCCCAACCTTCTTCTCCCTGTAGCCTGTGTGGTAGTTTTAGAAGGAAAACCTTATCTGGGGCCAGGTGCGGTGGCTCACACCTGTAATTGTAGCATTCTGGGAGGCTGAGGCAGGAGAATCACTTGAGGTCAGGAGTTCGAGACCAGCCTGAGCAAGAGTGAGACCCCCGTCTCTACTAAAAATAGAGAAAATTAGCGGAGCAACTAAAAACAGAAACAAAATTTTAGTTGGGTGTGGTGGCACACACTGGGGAGGCTGAGGCAGGAGGATCGCTTGAGCCCAGGAGTTTGAGGTTCCTGTGAGCTAGGCTGATGCCAAGGCACTCTAGCCTGGGAAACAGAGCCAGACTCTGTCTAAAAAAACCCAACAACACCCCCCCCCAAAAAAAAGCCAACTTATCTGTTTTCTCTCTTGACTAATAGTCCTCAGTAGCTCCCCATTACTCCCAAGATACAATTAAAAATGTTTGCTTGATAAAGGCCTTTCAGGGTTTGGAATTTGCCTTACCCACTCTTCCCTACCCACCATGCCTGTGTGCTTGCCTGAACAGCTTTCAGATCCTGAACATTCTGGACTCCTGGGATCTGCATCTGCGGCACCCTCTACCCGCACCGTTTCCCATCCACAGAGCTGGCTCCTACTTACCCTTCAGTTTTTAGTGTAGACAACCACTCTCCCAGCCCGCCAGAGCCCGGTGCTCCCATGCGCCTCTGCCTCGGCATCTGTCTCCCTGTGCTGAACTCACCTGCTTGCTACCTGTGTCCCCGCCAGGGGGACCTCCGTCTCATCAGGCTAAAAGCGCTGTTTGCCTATTTCACCATCCTGTGCATTTCGGTGCTTGGTCCTTTGTAGTCGTATAGTAAAGACGTGTCCAGTAAAAGGATTGGGGATGGGGAAAGGGGAACCAGTGGACGCTGCATGCTTGGTCAGGAGTAGATGGTGTGGACGGCAGCGCCTTGAGAGCCGGCGTCTTCCTGGGGTGCTCGCCGTCCCTTCCACTCTGTGAGGTCCCTGTGTGCTAGCTGGTCCTCATCACTGGTCCAGAAACTGAAACCATGGAAAACCAGCTTTTGCTCACTGAACCTTGCACCACACTCAAGTTTGCTCATTTGTTAATGTTTAAGAGAAAATGCTCAGTGTCTGGAGGGAGAGAGGACAGACCGCTGGCAGCCCTTTCTCCCCACAGGAAGCTGCAGGGAAGCAGATGACAGTCACAGGCTGCGGTGCGAGCGTTTTCCTTCATTCATTCAGTGAGCACTGACCCAGTGTTCCCACAGGTGTGAACAGCTCTTGGCCGAAGAAAAACCCAAGCGACACACGGAGAGTTGGAGAGTCAGCTTTTTCGCTGAGAGGCGCATCTGCCACCAAACTCTGAGCGCCCCTTTTTCATTTTCTTTTAGTTTTATACCTTTTTGGGGGTTACAGTTAGCCAATGGAAAGTTTTCACAAAAGTCACCTCGTTTATGTAGTAGTCAGCCAATCAGAAGTATGTCCCCAAAGTTACTTCATTTACGTAGTAGTCAGCCAATCTGGAGTATGTCCCAAAAGTCACCTCATTTACATGGTAGTCAGCCAATCAGGAGTATGTCCCAAATCACCTCATCGGCTGTGAGTATTAGTAGCTGCTCAGTTTAGGAGCAGACAAGGGAAACAGGTGGGTTTTGGTGGAACGCCCTGACACCAGCGCCTACTTAGTCTTGCAGCAGAAGAATGTGGGTGATTTTACGGAATGGCCTGCAGTTGAGGGAGTTTGGGAGACCCTTCTCTTCCCTGCTGTGGAGATCTCCTCCTGTTCCAGTGAGGCGACCAGGTGGCCCTTGCCGCGATAGTGCAGGAATCACCCCAGAGTTGTTCCCTTTGCTCCTTTTCATCCTTTTAGGGTTGACTAGAGTCCCTTGCCACATCTGCGCTGTGTCTGACACCAGTCTTATTTCCAAATTCCTGGGTTGGGGGGAAGGTAGGGGCATGCCTGGCAGGCGGCAATCACCTTGCTGTGGCTTCCACACCTGTACTTACTCTTGCTAATGTGACCACACAGCATGCTCACTCTTTTTTTTTTTTTTTCTGAGACAGAGTCTCACTGTTGCCCGGGCTAGAGTGCCGTCGCCTCAGTCTAGCTCACAGCAACCTCGAACTCCTGGGCTCGAGCAATCCTCCTGCCTCAGCCTCCAGAGTAGCTGGGACTACAGGCATGTGCTACCACGCCCAACTAATTTCTCTATATATTTTTAGTTGTTCAGCTAATTTCTTTCTATTTTTAGTAGAGATGGGGTCTCACTGTTGCTCAGGCTGGTCTTGAACTCCTGACCTTGAGTGATCCTCCTGCCTTGGCCTCCCAGAGTGCTAGGATTACAGGTGTGGATCCCTCGTCCAGCCCATGCTCACTCTTATAGGAGGGCACACATGGAAAGATTTTTCCTTTACCCTCTTGGGTTCTGCTCTTGGGGACTTATGAGATTTGTGACAAAAGACTGATTAGCAAAAGACAAAACTTAATCACACATTTTTATTAACACATTTATAGGGGGGTCACAAAACAATGTGACTTAAAGGGATGGTTAGAATTTAGGGCATATATATACCATCTTAATAGGGCAGTGGGAAAAGGACACTCATGGGGAAAATAAATGACTTAAATGGGGCCTTAGGAGAATAAATGAGAGATAATGATAGATACTCCTGTGACAATGTCTGTTCAGGTGTGTGTGGAGACGTCTCATCCTCTCCTCTGGTAAGGGTCAGCTCCCCTGTTTGTTCCTGGGGAGGGGATTCATGACAACTGAGTGATTCTAGGAGGCTCTGCTTTCAGAAAGATGAGAGAGATTTCAGGAGCTCAAATACCTTCTGCTCAAAATAGTTTTGATGCCACTGTGGCATATTCTGGACCCCTTCAAGGTCTGTCTTTAATGTATAGATCATATCAGTACCGGTATTTGTATGAGTCCAAAAGCCTTCAAACAAGTGACTAAAATATAAAAAATATATATATAAAACACGGTAACTAGGGTATTATTTACTGGGTCCAGATGACACTGTTATCCAAGTGTGAAATGCTGCTTATTAAACAAGATTCCTTTTTGCAAATTAAGAGGGAAAGGAAAAGATTTTTATTTAAACCAAATGGTTTAAAATTATTAGTCTGATTTGTTTAATCTCCCTCCCCCACCCCAATTTTTAAGGATCATATTAATGAATATGAATAATGTATTTTTAGCACCCTTTTTTTTCTTTTGATCATAAAATGAAATGATTTCATTCATTCAACCAATATTTATTATAACAGACACTATTCCATTTGGAAGTTTTATTTGAAACCCAATTCTGTGGTGTGCCAAATATGGACAGGGAAACTAAGTACTGGGGTAAAAAGGGGAGATCTTACCACCCAGGTACCCCAAAGGGAGAAGTGAACAAAAACTGGTGAAGTCGCCATCAAAAGAGAAAGGAAATAACCAGAGGTGTAGGCAGAGCAGCCCTAACTCCTGAAAGATTAGCGTTGGTAAATTATAGAGAAAAGATTTAGGTCCATAAGAGAGCCATTCAATACCTACAAAGTCATTCAGCAGCAGTCATCTTTGTGGGAAGAAGAACACAGAATAAATTTCATTACTACCCTTTGGGTTGACAGAATAACTCATCTAATTGGAATCTAGAAATTGAAACTGTAATGAAACTTTGTAGAATAGTGGGGCCTGAACTGGAAAGGGCTGAATTTAGAGAACAAAAGGTTGAGGAGATAATTTGTTGTAATTACTTACAGATCAGTTATTTGCCATTTAATATGCTCTATGCTTTCCATACATTATCTAAGTTAATTCTTACAACAGTCCAATGCAGTGCTAGTATTATTTCTACTTTACAGAAGAGGAAATAAATTATGTAACTGTGTTTTTAGTAATGGACATTTACTTCCTGTATATTTTTCCTATGCTGAATTAAATTCATATCATAGATCCTTGAGTACTGGTGCTTTTATTTTATGTTGATTTCTTTGCATATTTTAATAGATAGATGCAAGATTAGTTTTCTATATTTGCTCTGATTAGGACTAGAAAAAGCACACATGAAAACCTGGGATGAAACAAAAGTGCTAATAGTACTTGTATTCAGTGGTATAATTATATAATTGTAGTAAATATATTCTTGTTTCCCATTTTCTACATTTTTAATGAGTATGTATCACTTAAAATGAAAATAATAAAATTATGAATAAATAATATGTTATAGATTATAGTAATGTAGCCTCATAGCTAAGGGAAATATTCATGGAATCCTTCCTGAAAGCAATAATTGTAAGCAAAAACATGTCAATGTGAGCCATGACATGGCTAGATAAAATCTGAAACAAATTAGTATAAAAATCAGTATGTTATGTCGAAGTTCATAAACCAATTGGAATCAAATTGTATAAACACTTTACAAGAAATGTATACAAGGCCAATGTTACAAGAATTGTTTGGGGCCAGGTGTGGTGGCTCATGCCTATAATCCTAGCACTCTGGGAGGCCGAGGCAGGAGGATCCTTTGAGCTCAGGAGTTTGAGAACAGCCTGAGCGAGAGCGAGACTTGGTCTCTACTAAAAATAGAAAGAAATTAGCTAGACAACTAAAAATATAGAAAAAATTAGCCGGGCATGGTGGTGCATGCCTGTAGTCCCAGCTACTCTGGAGGCTGAGGCAGAAGGATCACTTGAGCCAGAAGTTTGAGGTTGCTGTGAGCTAGGATGAGGCCACGGCACTCTAGCCCGGGCAACAGTGAGACTCTGTGTCAAAAAAAAAAAAAAAAAAAAGAATTGTTTGGCTGGGCAGTCCAGTTTACAGGTGAAATGAAATGAAAGTTTGAGGGCCAGGCTGAAGCAGTAAGTAGTGATGTGTGGTTTTGAGCAAGTTACCCAGAACTTACTTACTTTTTTTTTTTTTTGAGACAGAGTCTCACTCTGTTGCCTAGGCTAGAGTGCCGTGGCATCAGCCTCGCTCACAGCAACCTCAGACTCCAGGGCTCAAGGGATCCTCCTGCCTCAGCCTCCCGAGTAGCTGAGACTACAGGCATGCGCCACCATGCCCGGCTAATTTTTTCCATATATATTAGTTGGCCAATTAATTTCTTTTTATTTATAGTAGAGATGGGTCTCGCTCTTGCTTAGGCTGGTCTCAAACTCCTGATCTCAAAGGATCCTCCTACTTCGGCCTCCCAGAGTGGTAGGATTACAGGCGTGAGCCAGCACACCTGGCTGACACTCTTGCCCTTCTCTTATGAGGACTGTCATGATTACACTGGGGTTCCCTAGATAATTCGGGATAATCCCCCCATCTCGAGAACTTTAATTTAGTCATTTCTGTGGAGTCCTTTTTTGCTCTGTAACATGTTCACAGGTATTTAGAATATGGGCGCCTCTGGGGGGCCGTTATTCTGTATTCCATAATTAGTGAAGATGAATATGTTTTCATATAATTGGTTGTTTGTGTTTCTTCAAGAATTACTCATGACATTCTTTCTATTGTAGTATGCATATTGTGTATTTTCCCCCAATTTATTGCTTGCCTTTCAGTTGTTTACAGGATGCTAACTTACAGAAGTACATGAAGTTTTAAAAATCTTTATATTATGGAAAATGTTGAACAAAAGTAGAGAGAATAGTGTATTAAATCTCCACATTACCCTTCATCAAACTTAAATATTGACTCCAAGCTAATCTTACTTTATCTATACCTTTACTCCTCCATATTATTTATTATTTGCAAAACATCCCAGATACGTAATTTCATCCATAAGTATTTCAACAAAATATATTAATTTTATGATTTACATTTTTATAAAGAGTTTTCTCTAAGGTTTTCTGTTCTTGGTTGCCATGTACCAAAAAAAGCCCATTTTACTTGTTTTTTTTTTAAAGGGAATGAAAACAAAGTCTGAGTATATTTCTGTACTTAAAGGAGGATATGTCCTTTTCTTCAACTTGCCTTTATTAGGAATGATGTCTTCCAGCTGCTTAAGCAAGTGTATTTGAGCACCTAGCATGTGGAAAATGCTGAGTTTAACTTCGTGTTACCCTTGCGTGTACGTGAACGGGGAACCGTGTAAAAGAATCATGTTTATAAAATTAGCAGGCTGCTCATAGGTGTCCACACCCCTGATTTAGTCCTCTTTCCATGACGACACTGATGATTGGGAACAACTGCTGGAAGGCTGGCAATTGTCTGCCATGCCCACACCCACTTACACAGTGAAATGTTTTTTGCCACGGCCACCGGGCACTGGGAAGTAGAAACAAATGTGCAAAAAAGAGAGACGAACATAACCCTCTTCCACAC